AGGATTGCCGATCTCTATAGAGTACCAGTTTGGACTCCGATCATACGCTATTACAGGTGTGTGTGCGTCTGCTTCTCACTGGTAGCAAAAGACAGTGGGAGTGAAGCCTGTCTGTTCTCCACTGGAAAAAGAGAAAGTCAAGTACATACTCAGAGAGAAGATAGGCGAGCATTTATCTGAACGTGATAACAGTATTCATCCTGAGGAAACCTGTTGCTGCGTTATATTAAGTCTGCTGTAGAAACAGCGGTAAAGACAGTTAGGTAGCAACCTACTCCCGAAGATTAGCAAACGTCATTGGATTTCCGCGACATCATCCGAACTGATTGATGCGAGAAGACTGATTCTGACTTGCTCACACTTCGATGGAGAGCGAAAGCAACGTGAACGTAAATTGAGCAAGAGTCTTCGCGTCGACCGCGAGCAGTAGTGAAAATGAGAGGGATGGAGAAGACATCATAGTTAGGTAACATCTGGTAACCATTTAGGCTTATTAAAAATACCGACAAGAAGACGATGGTTAGTGAAACCATCACGGAAAACGATATAATCCTGATAGCCTTCCACGACAGGTGGTCAGAAAGTTTGGCGAAACACTTTAAAGTACCGGTCAGTGGGCTCGCATCAATGCTTCAGTTGCCTATAGCCTGAATGGGACGTGGATATCGGTCGCCTAAATATCGTTGAAGTTAAGAAAGCTGTATGGAACCTGGAACGATGCATAGCAGAAGGGTCTGACAGACTGCCACGTGAAGTTTACATGGATATCGGTAGGATATGGTTGATTAGATTAATGGAGGTACTATGTGGTGTATGGGAATCAGAGGTAGTGTCGTCAGACTGATCTACTTCACTGATCATCCCAGTCTATAAGAAGGGGAGGGATCTTCTTGTGAAAACTGAAATGGAATTAATCTGACTAATATTGTGCCCATTATCCTGTGGTCCATGGTTATCCAACGCTTAAGTAGAGGCCGAAAACTGAAAATTCGAGGAAGCCAGGCAGGCTTCAGACCTGGACAACGGTGCACCGTTCATATTTTTATCCTATGGCAGGTTCTAGAACACAGGTATACGTGCCGGCATGTGACTCAGTCGACTGCAAGGTGTTGTCGCAGTGTCTGACTGTGAAGAGAATACCAAGGAACAATGTAGCTCTAATCCAAGACCTTTACTCGAACTCACGCGGCCGTGTAAGGATTCATGGAGAGTTGTCGTGTGAATTGACGACAACTAATGGTGTCCGTCAGGCATGTCTGCTGTCACCCACTATTCCTGTTTAACTTCGTTATAGACGTACTAATGGACATCACCTTAGGTATTTCTGACTTCACAGGGATTGATCTACTACATGGATGTCGTCTGGTTGACTTAGAGTATTCAGACAATATTGTTCTGCTAGGTGACGACGTTGATGTAATGCAGGGTCTTGTGAAGGCCGTGAGGCGAAATCTAAACCACGGAAGACATCATCCATAAAGCGTTGGGGTATTTGTGTTGCATTCCGAAGACCAAAATGCATGGGCATGAATTCAAACAAGTAAATTGCCGATCCGTAACCTGGGTGTGTTGGATTTACATGTGTCAGAGACGAGTCAAATGTAAGCTGATGCTTCAGGACTGGTCTGCTGCAAGTACTCCCAGTTTGATAATAGTTAGTGAAGTGGTGGAATGTGTAGACCACTTCACTGATTTGAGGAGTTGCATCAGTCGGAATGGACTTATTGCTGACGAAATCTCAGCTCGTAAACAAAACACCCGTTTGACATTTGCCAACCTGCCTCACCTGTGGCGCCGACTAACGAGATATACGACTATCGATTCAAGGACGAATATATTGGGGTGCAGTCCGTTCTGTCCTGTTGTACGTCTGTGAGACACGGGCGTTGGAAGTAGAAGACATGAAGTGGTTACATGGTTTTGATCACACATGTCTTCGTAGCATTGCTTGCGTTTAGTGGAATCACCGTATGAGCGATGTTGAGGTCAGGCGAATGGTACAAGGCAAGACAGGCAAGTCAATTGATGAGGTTGTGAAGCTTTGTCGACTGAGATGGCTTGGACATGTGCTGTGCATGCCTCGCCTATCTCGATGTGCCATGCTAGAGGAAGTTGGAAGACGTTCAATGTGGCCAGACCAAGATCTGGCACCAGTCGATGAAGCCTCTTACTGTTGGTGTGAGCAGTGTGGGGCAATGTGGACTGTCTGGTTGGTGTCTCCGAGATGAATGGAATGGAATCAGTGGTCGAGGACTCTTGTTGACATGGCTGAGAATCGGTCTCAGTGGTGCAGATGTATTCACTGTCCGACGTCATCTGAAGCTTGAATATTCGCACTAACCTTTATCTGCAAATTGTTTATTCTCTCACACAACTTTTTCTACTTCGATATCACTTTTTCTATCCACCTGTTCTTTGTGTACTGCTCTGAAGTGTGGCAGTTTGAAGCGATGCACCTGTATGCGAGGTTTTATGTTGATTTTTTCAGTCAGTCAGTCTTATGTCCTCTTGAAAATTGTCAGGTGTTCTAAGATTCGGAGAGCTTGTTGCAGGTTTCCATTCACGATGGGACTATGTATTGGCTTACTGAAAATTCTTTGGTCAGTTCATCTGTCTTTTTAGATTGTTTGCTCATGGTTTTAGAGCGATGTTGTGAGCGGACTGTGCATGTGTCCTTCTGATCGATACTTTTACTGACCACTAATTTCATGTGTTTGTAATTGAAATGATGGAAAAGATTTTTAGCTCAGGATGAGGATGATGGTGGTGGTTTGGTGTTCTCTAAGCTTTGATATTTTGTCATAAGCGTTTCATCACCAGTCTTTGTGACATCTTCAGGACTACCTTCCTAATGAGGTGAAGCAGATTCGATTCCTATAAGAATGTTCAGATCGTGCTTTTATTGACCTTTGGTGTTGTCTAGTTGTAAGTTGGGGAGTGTTTGTAATTATCTATCATAACTGTCTTCTCTGTCACTTCATCCGGATAGTGGTCTGAGGGAATTTGGGTGCCAACAGAGTTGTGATTGGGATTGACACTTGCCGGCTGCCCACACCGTGGAAGTCTAGGTCTTCTTGAGGTACCTGAAAGAGAAAGGTTAGTGTGTGACAGCAGAGCCTAAGAGGCATCTGCTTGAGGCCGGTCATGTATAGCCTTTTCGAACCCACGAAAATTCTCCTGTATTATGGAAGGTGTAATCGGACATACGTCTTGTAGTTTTGGATCACCACTGATGACTGATCAAAGCCACCATACTGCATAATTTCTTTGTTTAAGAAAACATGTTAAGGGTAAGGGTAACCTTTGTGGTATGGTAGGACTTCGAGGGTTCAAGCGTTTCATCAGCATTGCTGGTCAGGTCATTGTGTTATGCATGGCCGACCTCCACGTCAAATTAGCAGATATCGGTCAGGAGTTTCATCTGTCAATGATTATCATAACTCCACTAAAGTATGATTGCAAAACTATCACTTATTTCTTTGCGCGTAGTCTTCCCAATTACGCATTTAAGTCACCTTCGAGATTTATTTGCATCTGAACATTTGGCTTTTAGCAGACTTCTGGACAATTTTTGTAAAAATCCGAGTCGCAACCACTGGGTACTTGGGCATAGAATACGAAAAATTCTTGTTTGTCTTAATATTTCTTAGTTTTCATTTTAGCATTCAATCGAACATTACATAATGCAATACACACATGCCAGGTTAAATGCAGGCATGCGGGCACTTCCTTCTGCCCTTGAAAAGCTGTAGTGCTACTTGGTCCTGCCATTGTAATATCCTACGAATCGTATTTTGATACAGCGTTGGACTAGATACATGCTTGTAGCGGACTCTTTAAGTGTGTTTCTGTTAGTACCGTAGCCCAATAAGTAAGCTCTTAGTGAAATAACAGCTTCGAAGATACTTTTCATCCCAGTACTTCAAGCTGCATGAAATAATCTGGGACGTAGTCAGTTTCCTGCCCAGCACTGTGGCATGATTCTCTGGGTGAAATTCGAAAAATGATATACGACTTATTGATCAAAAATCTACCAGATATAGAATCAGAACCGGCTGCGACCGTACTGTAGTTTTCTTGTCTTCTAGACTAGTATAGGACTAGTGAACGCTCGAATGTTTCTGCTGTGATTACTTCTATGATCATTCTGTTAACATGCTTATCTTTTCCACTATATCTTCAGTTTCACACTATTTTGTCTGTCGCGTTTTTCGGTGTTCATGTTGTACTGAGTCAATAAAAACAGCTATAGTAGTTCACCTCTCCCTTCCTTTTTGAAAAGAAACGGCTAGGACTTTTTTGCTTGTCTATTTTTCCAAACAACAACAAGTATAAACTTATGTTTTTCTTCTGATTGGATCCGAATGCCTAGTACCACATGGCAAAATTGGAAATACTTATTGTAAACGATTCCACTACTGTTGCTTTCGTCTTGATGCCTCACATAACTTGTCTGTCTATCTATTCACAGACAACTTATACCAAAAGTCCAATTAAAACTCAGCTGTTGGAACCATTTCATCTGTATGTCACTCCAGATAGGGACTAGTTTATATATATGATAAACATACGTTCGTTTGCTAACAATTTAGTGTCGACAGCAGTTTATTGACACAGTCACTAGACAAAACCACTTAATCGCTTTATACGTTGTAAGATTGTGGCTCATTGGCTTGGATTTTCAGTTTTCAAGTAGTGGATCGCTGTTTTGAACAACAACAACCAAGTTTCATGATATCTCTCAAGCCGTTGGTGCAGCTCGCAGCCTAATGTACGAAACTGCATGTGGTTAGAATTTCCTATTTGAAGAATTCGAAACGTGTAACTTGCTACTTTAAATACATCAGAACCTTTAAAAAGCAAAATATCCGGACAAAAATTACTTTACAATCAATGATTAGCTTACAAATACTGATGAACGTGATTGACAGATTTAACCATTGTCATAAACTACAGTTTACGTCAGCCCTAAACTAATTGGTTTTTAAATCTATTTTCAGACTGTTGGTCCTGCTGACGGCTCATCGTTTCTCCGGCCTTACTACGATCCTGCCCTGACTCTCTTGCGCCGGACTAACTACACGGTGTATTCTGGCTGAATGTCTACAGCTGATTTACCTGGGACAGACAAAAATAAATCTAACTCCTTTCTGCGTCTGCGATATTTATCTTTATTACAAAACCTTAGTGGTGGTTCTCCAGTTTTGATTTACTTAGCAGATTTGAAGGAGCCTCTCAGGGCCATTCTGGATATTTGGTGCCCTTCAGATATAGCCAACAGTTCAGATTTGCATTTAGAATCAGTTTTGTTTGTGTGAAAGACCTACACACTCCATTGGGTATTGTTCCCAAGGCCCGAATACGTGAGGCTGACGTAATAGCTATTCAAGCGTTCTTGAGCTGAAATGTGTGATAGTTCATTTCGACTAGGTGATACTCCACCTGTTCCACCTAAGAAACGTGCCCGTCTAGATGCATCGACATTGAACTCTACTAATGGCTCAGCCGATTGTACCTCGTTCTACCCCGAAAATATGCATTTAGTTTCTGTGCTTCGGAATGACCCTAAGAGTAAGTGTTTAGTGCTCCATACACGTTTTGGCGACGACATAAAGGAAGCTATCGTAACACTTCAAAAGTCATCATTTCCTAGCGATGCTGAAACTTTAAAACGTTGTAAAGTAGTGAATAAAGTTCTTATTCCACATGCTGCACATGAAACTAAAGACCGCTGCAATGAACTAGATGAGAAAACGAAGATGACAAATCCATCTCTTTTCCAGAATGGCAAGCAAAGTCAATTATGACCAATGATATCTATCATCGTTTTCTTGTAACAAATGGTTTGGAGTCCGTCAACGGTGTTGACATGACGGTGATTTATCCAGCTGAATCACACCACTTTGCGAAGTTTTACTGCTTCTGGTCGCCGTATTATTCAAGAGACTCCAGAAATCTATAAAGATATCATCGTTCCTTTCTTGTCCCAAAAGCCTAAAGATCTCACTTGGATCGACAATATAGTAACAGGAACTGCTGAGCAGGATCGTGTTCTTCACACTGATGTCGATGAACAGTTTGGTTTCACATTAGTACTAGATTACCGTGGGATGGAGCTCGTCTTCAAGAACTTCACTGCTTAGGTATTTCTCATGATCAGAAATTGACATGTCTACGAGATCTACGCAGCTGTCATGTCCAATGCTAAAAAAGATTTTACAAATGGGGCGTAGTACACTTTTTGCCAAGTATTCTAAGCGAAATACTTCTGATGGCCAAGCGTCCCATGATGATTTCAAGGATGTTTTGTCAGAAGATCAAATCCTCGCGTATATACATTATCCTCCAACATTTTATAGACTTCATGTTCATTTTATGCACGTCGATTCTGGAGACAGCTATGGTACAATCGCAGGTCGAGCACATATATTAGAAGAAGTTATTCGTAATCTTGAGCAAAACGATTTGTATTATGCTGAACGTACAATCACAATCTTTCTACACGATCGTAGTCCCATGTTTGTCGCTGTTTGTGAAGACAGTTGCCAAAAGTCTACTGAAGATCCAATTCCCAGTTAGACGTTCTTTTGACTCGTACTTCTGGAAGAAAATATATGATTCAATATTACTGTTTAAACTTTTTGATAATGTTCTGTTCATAGTTGATGTAATATAAAAATGGATTTTTTTAATTAGAATTTTTGACTTCCCATAAAGTGAGTATTTAAACTGTTCCAAGCCACATTGAAATTTACATACCAAAATGAACTATTTTTTGTAACTGAAAGTGACATTTATACATCATTAGTATGGCTATAGATCCCTGGTCTAGGCAACAAGTTGTAGGACAGCATCAACGTAGGATATATCAATGTTGTGTACCATGTAAGTTGTCATGTCTCATATTAACCCATCAAGGCACTATGTTGAAAGTTAGAAATCAGAAAGAAAATAGTAGAAACTCTTAAAAAGAGAACAAAATGGATGAAATTCGGTATGATGATTAAAATGGAAATAATGCGTAGATGCGTCACATCATTCAGAGCCTCCAACCACCGGATTCGGTTTTCATGCGAACCGGAACCAGGAATCTACACGGCTCTGAACAACAGCTTATGACTTCGCACCATGTTTTTTGGTTTGACTGTCTCTCACCTTTTTCCATCCCAAATCCACTTTAGCTAACATTAGCAGATAAAAACTAGGCATGTGTGTGTAGCACGTCAATTGATGTTGGTCGGCAATCTAGGAACTGACTTAGCCATTCTGTCTCAAACTTTACGTCTGACTTCGACATAACCAATGTGGTGACACCACGACATGGCCTGTGCTACGAACGCGACGGTGGTTGACCCTCGGTAGCCTCATTTCTTCGACATATAGTAGAGCAGGGCGAACTGCCGTGCACTCCACCCTTCATAGACAGTCAGATATCACAGTTGGCGAAAGCCAACCGAGCAGAGCTTTCGTTGTTTACTGACCAGACTTTTCAAGTGAAATTGTCAACGCTTTCAACCATTTTGCTCCATACTGTGAGACACCACTAAGGCAGACAAGTCCTAAAGAAATCTCTATTTAGTTAGTAGGAAATGCATCCTGAACATTCTCAAATTGTCACTTAAGGTTTCCAAAAGACTGCATCTGGACAACCTCTTCACTTAACAGAAATATGTCATCCGTACACTACGTCTACCAAGCATTCTCATGTGATAAATCAAACCCTGAAAAGTTGGACAACTGGAGGAAGACTTCGCAATAAGATTTATAATAAAGTTGTGTAACTATGGAGGGATTGGATATCAATGACGGACACTACTAGAGGTACATCACTCACCATGGTCTTTATCACGCCCACACGTGTTTGAATACAGAGCCTTAAGCAGCATCATTTGCTCTCCTGTTATCCATTTCAATGAAGGATACTTTCATAAGACCTTTCCATCGCCGGAGTCGAAGGGAGCCTTAAGGTCGAGAAATGCAGCTAGTGTCGGGCGTTGGTAAGTGTGCATGTGCTCCATGACCTAACGGAAGGCGAGTATCCGGTAAACACACATGACCACTTTTGAAACTTGCCTTGTGTTCTCGAGTTTGCTGTTCCTGAGCTACACATTATTATTATTATTATTATTATTATTATTATTATTATTATTATTATTATTATTATTATTATTGTAGTACTTTCAATCTTGGATACAGTTAGTCAAACCATAGTTATCACAAGAAGTTATTTCTCCTTACTGAAGACAGACAGTTAGTGATTAGCAGCAGTTAGAAGAGACCATATCTGATTCCCTTAACACTTAAGTTAACCTGCATAATAGTACGCGAACACCGTACTCAAATACCTCCGGAGCTAGTCCGTCACTGCCAGCTGTCCTTAGTTGTTTCAGGTTACTTGCAGCTTTGTCGAATTCTGCAAGTGTTGGACACCTTATCTCAAATGTTGTATTGGGGACGCGACTGGATAGTGCATAACAGGATGGTAGGCGGAGCCCATTTTAGTTTTGTATCCATTGTTCCAGTCGTCTTCCATGCGAGCGGATTGCAGAAGTATTTGTCTCCACTGTCGTCTCACTAAACATTGGTTCTTTCACCGTGGTTTCCTTGATAAGTCTGAATGACAGTGAACTAGGGTTTGTTGCTCAGATCTCTTCCATCTCGTTGACCTTCCGTAACCACCACTGCTTGTGGTCGTGGGAAAACTTTTCTTCAGTTTACATTTGAGCTGTTTCCGTGCTTCATTGTGCTCGAAGCCTGTAGGGATGCGTTCACGCTCACTCATTAATTCAGAATAAGCTGCCGAGATCTACTGGCCCTTTGTAACCACATTTTGAGGGTCAATTAGGGTCTTTGACACTTTTTCGATAGTAAAGCAGAGATGGTGCCAGTCTTCTTGAGGATGATAACTTTTCATCCTGTCCATCATGGAGAATTTCGGAAACTGCTCATTACTACGGAGTACCGCAAACCTTTATCCGCCTCATTCAACAACTATATGAAGATGCCACATGCCAGCCAAGTAATTCACAATGGGAAGCTCAGTGATGCCTTTGAAGTGAAGACAGAAGTGAAACAAGGTTGCCTACTATTCCCCCATGATATTCCTTATTGTGGTGGACTGGATCATGCAGCAAACAGTGGGGAGCTGTGAGAAGAGGGTGATACGTTGGACTGCGGAAAAGAACCTAGGAGATCTGGATTTCGCCACCGATGACTTGTGCTGATGTCACATAAACTCGAAGATCAACAGGCGAAAACTAACAAGTTGGCAGAAGAGGCATGGCAGCGAAGACGGGACTTCAAGTGAATATAGAGAAGACAGAGGTAGAGGTGATGAAGATACCCAACCAGCACCACTACCAACAACAAACTCCAATCACCATGAACTGGAGAAACTTAAAGGAAGTAACCTCCTTCACCTATCTAGGAAGCACTGTTTCAACTACAGGCGGGACAGGCACAGACGAGGATGTCAAAGCCAGTCAGAATCGGAAAAGCAAGACAGGTGTTCATTAGCCTGGAGATCTTCACTTCAACCATCAAGACAAAATGGGAGATATCGAGGAACATCCCTGAAGAAACCTGTGTGGAAGAACACTGGAAGTCTTTGAAAGCTATGTGGAAAGAAACCTGCACAACAGTATTAGGAAGGAAGAAGGTGGAAGACAAGGAATGGAACTCGACGGGTACCTGGAAGCTGATAGAGGAGGGAGAGGAGGATGGTGAAGCAGAAGATAAACCAGTGCAAGGATGCTCAACGACAAGAGGAACTGAGCACAATGATTCTTCGTGTCACTCTAGCTAAATATCTTGATCTCTAGGTACAAGTTGCAATAATTCATTAGGTATTAGTATACTTAAGTTCTTACTTAAGCGTTTATCTGGATAGTACACGGCTGATTTCGCCCAGAATCCTAGTTAGAAAGTACCACGATTTCGTTAGAACTTCAGTTATGGATACACTCTCAAAAGTATGAGTACTAGTAGTGGCTTTGTGGACTACAAGATAAAAATTGACGACGTAGAATGAAGAAACGTACCACTGGATAAGTGAGTTATAAAAAAAAAGTGTTTGTAAAATCCCAATAAAGTAGGAAAATAAATTTTGGACTCTTCACAACCTCATGGAAGCTACATGAATCTGTGAACCAAAAATCCTTGATAATTAAAAGGTTTTACATCCAGTCTCTCCACATCCTGTTTTGAAATACTTGTCGAATGCACTACTGAAAGTCTGGTTACACTGTTTTCACTGTAAAAACCTGGTTTCTTTAAACTTCCCTAAAACGCTCCTTAGGTTGGTAAGCGTTTTACAAAGAAATGGAGTACAGTGAAGCTTCACCCCACTGTACCCGTTAGCGTGTCACATGGTAGCTGTCGCTCAAGTTCTCTAGTGAAAATCAGGAAAACCTTACTCTGAAATGCCATTTTAAACACTTACATAAAAATTTTTGACTTCACTAAATCTGTTTTCAATGAGTCACATCTACAACATATTGAATCTACTGGAACTTGCTAATGAATCGGTGTAGATTGTTTTGTCTCTGCTTAGCACTTACCAATTAGTTGTAAGTGAATATTTCAAACTTCTCAGTTATAGCTTTCACAGAATTATGGCACGTTATCGCAAAGCAACACAACAAGTTTCTCGCATCATGATTCTTATTGATTTATACCATTATTAGTGTCAGCTGCTACTGTTATGCTCTACAGTGTGGATGTTTGCTATGTTTCTGGTATGCTCCCTGAGGGTTTAATTGTGATTTTTCGCCCTACTTCACCTGGTAAATCTGAATAACTGGTATCTGAGGTATCTAAAGTACATAATAAGCTAGTCCTCATATAAGTGGAATGTATTTGTAAAATCCCAATAAGGTCGAAAAATAAATTTTTAACCTTTCAGGATCTCATGGAAGCCGCTTCTTCTCATAAAAAGCGGCATTGATGCTAGCCGCAAATTTGAAACTGTTTGTGTACTAAAGTATTCTGTGAAAGCTATAACTGAGAAGTTTGAAATATTCACTTACAACTAATTGGTAAGTGCTAAGCAGAGACAAAACAATCTACACCGATTCATTAGCAAGTTCCAGTAGATTCAATATGTTGTAGATGTGACTCATTGAAAACAGATTTAGTGAAGTCAAAAATTTTTTATGTAAGTGTTTAAAATGGCATTTCAGAGTAAGGTTTTCCTGATTTTCACTAGAGAACTTGAGCGACAGCTACCATGTGACACGCTAACGGGTACAGTGGGGTGAAGCTTCACTGTACTCCATTTCTTTGTAAAACGCTTACCAACCTAAGGAGCGTTTTAGGGAAGTTTAAAGAAACCAGGTTTTTACAGTGAAAACAGTGTAACCAGACTTTCAGTAGTGCATTCAGACAAGTATTTCAAACAGGATGTGGAGAGACTGGATGTAAAACCTTTTAATAATTGAGAACTTTCGATTCATAGTTAGTATTTGCAGACTGTCACTCAGAGCATTATTTATCTTAAGACTTACTCATCGTGGTTATTCTCTGTTTTTTCATTTATTTATATAGTGATAGTTTGATAAATAAATATATTAAATTTGAGTTCAAATACTCATTGTAAAGATCACAAGTGGTAGCAATCAGGTGAATGAATTACTGGATGCAATATAAGCATGCACAAATGTTGATAAAACAGCGGATCAGGTACTCTGAAAACTGCCATTGGATAGACCACTGTTTTAAGGTTGCTAAAACTTCAATTTTCACGTTGTGTTCGACAGTAAATCTTCTAAGTCAATAGCTAAACAACGTAATAACATTTTACAAGTATACAGACTTTTATAGTTTCACAGATTTGTAAACTTGAAGATATACAATAAGCACCTACGTCATCCAGCATACCCTCATTTTATTCTGTGTTGCTCATGGATGTTGTTACTGGCTAGTTAGCTCATGCATCTTGGTTTACTGGCATACTTCTGAAAATATGCAATCTCTCTCAGGCAACTAACCTGGTGTTCTTCATCGATGCCATCTCATGTGTTTTGACTAGGTGCAACAAGTTGTTGGTTGATGTTTTCATGCATCATAACCATGTTAAGAGCCTCCAAATTTTCCCTGTTAACTATTTAGTTCAATAAAAAATGGCCAGTTGAAAGATATATACACTAATGGAAAACTTCCTACTGAACTGACATCAGAAGACAGTAACCAATGAAAATAAATTTTGCAAAATACAAGACAAGCGATATAATAAGCAGGATTAAAACATATTTCACATATAGTGATGCTTAGGCAATTGAAGGTTATCATTTGGTTGCTGTCAGTTCAAATCGTCAAGGGAACATGACTCTGTTCAAGATAACTAATACATCTGCCTGATGAGAACTAATAAGAACGAAACCAATGTCTCAGTGTTTCCTGCTGACTAACCAATAACACCAGAATACAATCCACTTGGTTACTTTATAGAAAACTTGTTTAACAGACGTTAGTTGATACTGAGAATTTGAAAGTTAACGCCTATATCAGTTACCAGTTGATCGCCATTTCGTTATCGACTAACCACTCATATTAGCCTAACTTATGACTTGGGAATAAATATAAAGTTGAAAATTACATAGTTACAGTTACTGCGCTTTCAGGATCGCCCTCCATAACTTATTTCAAATACTTTGTTATCTCATGTTTAGGCGCTGTGACATCACGAAAATATTTAGAAAATTAAGATGTCATGAATTAAACGTCGAAAAATCTATACTGTGTTGGATATTCACAAGTGGTAATCTTAAGAGTTTAAGGATAGTGAAAAATGTTAAATGCAGATGGCTCTTGAACATCAGTGTGATTCACTGGTGCCGTTGGGTCATAGATGCATATCAGATTAGGTTTATAGAAGATAGTTGTGTCTGGTAAAATTGTTTGTCAGAATTCATTCATCGAGAGATTTAGTGCTCCCAGATAGGAAGGTGATGAGCACCTTGGACAGAAAAAGTCTCTTAAAATTGCCGACTAAATTGGATTTACTTGCATGTAACAGCAACCACTAGTGCTGCCAGAAGTTTACATTGATGGTGGTTATTTTAGTAGTGATGAGGACCTAAAGGAATGAGCATCACTGTCTGAGGTTGAAATTGAAAGACTTTTAATCGTAATTGATGTCACATTAAACATTTACAACTCGAAATTCTAAAGGTCAAACTGATGAATAGTGCATAATGACTTAAAGGTATTGTCAGACTGTACTGACCAAGTTAAAAACTCAATAAAATTAGGGAGAAATTCCTTCTATACATATATCATCCGTTCAAATCATTGTAGAAGTAAGTTAAAATTGTTCTTCTTGGCAAAATCCAAACAGTAAATCGATTTTAAATTTGAAGTTCGTCGTCATGCGGCATTGATGTGTACGAAAAGTCAAACGGTGTCTTCAGTCAACAAATGCAAACTATTAATTACGATAAGATTCAACGAAGCGCATAGTCTTAATATTTATTTTTTGCAAAGATCGATTAATTGGAACAATAATGTGAATGTGCTTGAATTTACTGTGGAATCCACAACTTGCATTTCATCCTGTCTGTGAATCATCACCATCATTTATCCGCCTCTTAGTCAGTGTTTTTATTCCTACTTGGAATAGAGGCTAGCATCCATCACTTCAAACATCAGAGCGTTTCCCACTAGGGTATTGAGTCACGAGATCCATCTGTTGTGCAACATCAGAATAAAACATGAGACAATATCGAGGCATTTGTTCAAAAAACCAATACACAAACGGAAACTAATCATTTTGGTTCATTATGATCATTGGTTTCTGCAAGTATCAGTAAATAATAATATAACTTTTTAAAAATGATCTAGCAGGAATTTTAATTACAGTCATTTAAAAGCAAGTACCTCTCCTAAAGTTGGTGGGATTATAATAGATTCTGCACCACTGTCAACTATAAAAATCGCTTCAGATTAAGTGTCAGAGAAAAGGGGGTAAATCGGTGGCTTACTAGCTTCCTCAGTCACTGACGGATTCTTTCCCTCCTTCTAATCAGATGCACGAATTTGTATGCACCTAACAGTATCATATTTTTCGTGATATTGGTGAACTACGGGCAGTAGTCTATACGAGGTAGAACGCTGTCTACTAGATATTAAAATAAAGTTAGAGGGGTGTGGAGTAGAGTTCTCTCTCTCTCTCTCTTTAACGGTTGAGTTTCCATCTCCTTAAATTAAGAGAAGTACATAATTTTTACAAAATTTTATAAGTTGATATTAGTCCGTGAATAGATTTTTCTGTTTATCTCAGATACGAAAACAACTACTTACGTTTCAGAATGAAGCCTTGTGTTTCCATCTCCATAGGCAGCTAATCGCGACAGCATAAACTGACTGAAAGATGCGTTTGACTTACGACGTTAGCAAAACAAGTAGAATTTTTGCATACAGTGTGGTGGTTATGTTTGATTAAGGATCCAACTGCTCAGTCATAACATTTCTTTAAAATGAAGTTTAGGGGCAGTTGGCACTGGCTAGGTACACGCAAATGTCTACTGAAATAGTTCAAGAATTGAAACGTTAGCATTCTGGGGTAAAACCAACGAATTGTAAACATTACTACAAAACGAAAACTTGAGGTTGTATAGTTGTATGGTTCTATCTTAAGGAAATTTGCGATAGTTTTCAGCACAGATGGGCGCTAGCCGGAAAACACTGAAAGCCTAGAAGAACTAAAAGTCAGCTTTGTCTAGTATGAGACTCTTGAACATTACTTAACGATGACTCCATGAGGCATTGAGCCAAAACCGGCCAGGTTTTTTAGTGAGCACTTTACCATTAGAACACTGGATTCGAATCCAATGGTCTATATATTTTCATTCATTTGATTGACTGTACAGCGTGACCATTATCTTATATGCATGGGTATAACCGTTATCTTTATCCTAAACAGTCTGTTGGTACTGATCACCGGAAATGAGATGAAAGCACGTTTATTCGGTCAAGTCATTAGAACTGCTTTGTGGTAATGGGTCAGAATAAATAATAATTTTGGCTAGGGTTTATAAAGCTAGTGGCATGGATGTAGATTAACTGGGGAGAAACTGAACGGGAAGGTGCGTACAACTGCATGGACGTAGGAAGAAAACGCTTTCTCAAACTTTTCGACTGAATTTTAGTCTCAAAATATCCAACGACAGATTGTGATAGATGAAAAAGGGTTGTGTACTCAGGACATTATAAGTGAGATCCTGTTACCAAAATTATTGGTCTAATGTTTCGTCTGAGGCATAAAAACAACATCTCCATGTTAGCCTTTGCGTGATGAATCCAACTTTATTTTGGTTCGAGTTTTGCAGTTTATGACAGGTTATGCGGAGAACCTTGTGAGAATTCCATTTGCCAACATTGCATAGAAATGAAATCGTTTATTTTTATTAACACTGCTTGACATGACCAGTTACAACTTTCTGAATTCTGTATCGCTTATCTACTGCTTTCTTTATTATAGTCGAACGTTGTGCTAGTATGTGCTGGGCTGAAGAGGTTAGGATATAAAGCCTATCCAGCTCATTGGGATGGTAGCTAAACTAATTATCATTCTGATTCAGATGTTTCTAGCTAGTCGGTGAAACACTGAAGACCCTGGAGCGCTGCACAGCTGTTTTCGTCCTCCTCTGAAACTCCCCAGCACTGCTAACCCACTGACTGTTCATTACTCTCGAGCTTTCATTAGTTCTCCGGCTGACATCAGTCCATGATGATTACTATCTGGAAATCAGTCAGTCCACCCAAAAGTATAAACTGAATTACTGTCTAGTGCTCATTGGTGACACTTCGAGATGGGCTTCCGAAGTTCAAATGAAAAGCTGTGATCTATAGGGTCAAGCAAGTCAGGTGTGAGAACAAATAATCGCCAGTGCCACTGAATGATGGTTGCACTATATACCAAATTGAAAAAAGCTAGAGAATGTAGACCACTAGATTTCAGCCTAGTGGCTGAATGATAACAAGCTCATTGCAATACCTGACGGTCCTCAGCTCAATTTCTCGAGGGGTCATGGGTAAGCAACGCTATGGCGTTCCATACTAGGACGAAACAACTCCTCAGCTGTCACAGGCTTTCAGAGATTCTCTGAATAATGTCAGTCAGTGCTGAGAGAAAAAATGTTGACACCTTACCTTTACTACAGACAAACGTAGCGATGACACTACGTACCATTCTTTCTGCTTATAGTTATAATAAAAAGATCATTAAACGTCCGCATTAGATTGTTGCCTACAATGGTGAATACTAGACACTAATGACATCACTTTGTAAGGAACTATGGAGCCACAATCTTCTGTTCATAAGTACAAGTTAATCAATTACAGTTGTTTCAAAATACAAGCAGATTATTTTCAACGTTATACACCCTAACTATAGGTGAGAAAAACTGAACAGATTGAACAAATAAAAGTAGTGGAAACTAAGGTAGTATCATGTTACAACTGCTAATGTTTGCAAAAATTGAAATTACCTGAATACACATCCAATAAATTTAGCCAGCTGTGAGTTAACTGCCTGAGTTTAACGGGAATTAATTGCGGATGAGAGTATCTACACACAGTAAAGTAGAATAAGTGAATAAAATAATGACCTGTTGAAGAAATTATCTGGGAATCTAATCAATTATACTAATCATATACAAATTGAAGAGAAGAATTGACATAATTTGTACCTATTCAATGCAGGTTACCATGAAAATTTCCTTAAAATATTCATTTTAGAACAGTGTACTTGACTATACAATATGAACCAAAAACAACCAGTGCCAACTGAAATCCTAAAAAGGATGTATTACGAAAAGTTAACACATAACTTGGCGCTACATTAAAAGTAATCTAGTCACTCTGCAAAAGATAAGTTACTTGAGCCAAAGGTTCAGCCTTCATATTCCCCAAAGGTTTAAGCATAAACCTTGTAACATTATTAATGTAAGTGTAAAACTTGGGCACTGTGGCAGAATGTAATTCCATATTAGATTTCTTATTTGATATATAGTGCACAGTGATACAGTATTATTTACTTGATTACGTTTCGAGAATAAATTATTGCTCATAATCACTACATTGATATGATTATGAGCAGTAATTTATGCTCGAAACGTAATCAAGTAAATAATACTGTATCACTGTGCACTATATATCAAATAAACAAATCTAATGTGGAATTACTTGTAACATTATATCAAGTAGTTGTGAAGGCAGATTATTACCAATCTAGATTGATTACTGTAGGACTGGAATACGAAAGGGACATCTTGTACAGTTCCAATGTAAACAAATAGTAGCTGGATCGAAAAGGATGAAAACGTCAGAAAATAAATGAGACAAAATTCATCTCTGTTCAGTCGTTTGTCGTATTTATATTATTAACAAACATACCTCATCACATAGGTGTGAAAAAAGCTGTACAGTGTGAACAAAGTTGTTGAAGGAAATACCATTTAACTTTAGGAAGTGAAACTGTTTCTCCTCCTCCACAGACGGTACATGATATATTCACTCAAAATCCCGTTACTCCATTGTTTGGCAAACAGTCTACGGACGGAGGATGTTTGCCTATAACCCTCAAACTTCAGTTTATCTCTTAAGTCTTTCGACTGATAATTATGCAATAATGATTAGAACAATTGTGCTCTGTGAATCTTATCATACAAATAATCTTATGTTCAAATATTTGATGCAATATAGAGAGAAGTTTTCATAGTCAGCTACACTTAGTGTGTAAAAAGGATAAACAGGACTTCTGTTCATGACTGGTAAGCAAAAAAATGTCTAACGAATTACCACTTAACATTTATGATAACATGTTTTGATCACTATGACTAGTTACAGCATTTCTGTGTGCATAAAAAAAATCCAGTCGTAAAATGAAGGTGAATAAGCTGCCAAAAAGGTGAAGATAATGATTTTTATGCAGCAAGAAAAGTGAATCTCAAATGTTGGCATTCACATTAGGCTTCTACAGTGTATCACTGTTAATAACAGTAGCAGTTCTTACTCATGTCAATAAATATCATTTTTATAGAAGTCATGTCAAAAGTGACATAAAGTATATTTGCAAGAAAAGGAGGAAACACTAAAATCATTGTAAGGAGAGCAGAAATATGATGGCACTAAAAACAGGTAGATAAATGTTGTCAATTAACGGTGACATTTTCAACATTTCCTTACTGACGACATACAGAGAGACATCTTATTCATCTACTGTTATTAGGTTGATGTTGACACATCGAAAGGAGAGGCTATGGTTGACATATGTGATCTTTTCTGTTTCAAAAAACTACCTAGGTTTGGTCAAGCCTAACATCAGTAAGGTATTTTCAAAACCTGAGAATAGATCAAGAAACTTGCCCAAAAATGCTACATCGTCGTGTAAAAATATACTGATGTGGTTTTATGCCCAAAAGATAACAGAAAGCCTTATAAACGTTCCACACTTATGATCTCTTGATGTCATAATGATGCTACTCATGTGATCCAAGCAAAACAGGTGACTGCATTACACTGTTGATCTCCTGCAAACCTTTACTTCGACAGATTCGTTTTCTGTGTTAATTAGCCGTTGAAAAAGATTTACAAGACATTCCTTCCTCTAGCATCTTCTAGACGGGTATTACTATTTGGTTCAGAATAAGAGTTCCATGTTCCTAGATGCAGTTTCCAGCTTTAAAAAGTTGTTATTGTACACGCCCCAGTTATTTTACTGAGTGTTGACACTACTCGGATTACTTCCTATTGTTGTTTGACGAAATTACAAATCACTAAAGTTTTATCATCCTTAACAATCTAATTACCAGATACCAGTATTAACTCTCAAAACATCTTTCTTTGATACTCAACTGAAGAAGCCATGTTGAACCTACTCAAATAAAAATGCCTGGAAAACTACATTCCGTCTACTTTGAAATATATTGTCAAATACTGAAGGAAAGCTTAGTAAATTATAACCTGTGAATCAGTTTATTCGGTACATTCTCAGGTAGGCATTGCGTGAAGCGGTTGACAGACAGCAAACACTTGTTATAAATGTGTTCTCAGTTGCAGGATGTAGTACATTAAATTTCTTGGCATATACAATAGACTATGATAGACAAGCAGTCGATTGCGTCGAGATGCCTTGGTATATAAAATGTATGTCTTACAAAATGTGACCGTGTTAATGTGAAACATGTAGCCACCAAATAGAATACAAAAAGGATTCAGCCTAAATCAATTGGATGGATAAAACTAAACTTTGTTGGATCCATCTTGTTGACTAGCGGTGGAATCGAAGACGCAAGTTTCATTCTGTTTGGGACTTGTTAGCCCGATATGTCTGCACCTTAGTGAATAATGTTGTTCCTCCTGAGACTCGAACCCAGTATCCATCGCTTCAAACGTCAAAGCGTTATCCGCTATCCCACTAAGGCATTATAGCCACCTCTTGTGCAACGGGTATCAATTGTTGTGTTTGATACTTGTCATTTCCCGTTGCTATATAAGACCAGATTGCTTGACCTCTATTGGCAACTGGGCTCCTATGCGAATACCTTGACATAAATGTTTTATGAAAGGAATGCAATAAGACAATTCCGATGAAGTAAAAATGTAAACTTTTGACCTTCTGGAAGCCGCTTTTGACAGAATAAAACCTGTCCAAGTTATTGCATGTTTCAATAAATCAGATTACTCTTTTCATGCACGCATACATAAGCAACAAAATGGAATCGAATGATATCACCAGTAACTATTTATCAGTGGGCTCCAAGTGATATGAACTGACAAAAATGTGCACATATGTGATTAAGTATCAATGAGTATGAGAAAGGAGTATGAATAAGAAATTCCGTTTGTTTGCCATAGCTTGTACAAGTTTTATTCTCAGAACAAGTGAACTTCACGAAGTTGCAGAACGTCAGAAATTCACTTTCCTATTTCATTGGGATTATGCAAATATATTTCACCTATTTGATCATAATTTTTTGACATTTGAAATATTCTGTATCTCATTGGTGTTTAGTGTGAGAACGACCATTTTACTTACGACAAATAATGACATTTAAGTAGTAATTGTAAGAATAATCATGCAAAATCAGAGAGGCATACAGATTTTAGCCATTTCATTCAATTTGAGACTGAAAACAGTTCGTTCAGTTGTTTCTTTCTGATATCCGTTTAAACGAATTTACTTTTGTAGTATTGTGATTTACAACAAGCCGAAACTCTACTTTACTTCGTTATAATGAGTGACTAGTAGGTGGTGCTAACGCCCGTATAAGATATTTAGACCACTACATGGTTCGCGGACATATATGTGTGAATGACCATTACATTCTAATTTATGTCATAAAATGATGAGTATACTACCTAGTCTTGGAGAAATTTCAAAGTAAAGCTGGTTTATTAGTTCCTTGATCCAATAGAAATGTAATGAAGTAAGCTAGTGTTGAATATTCTACTGCAGGAAAATAGAATATTTCTGCATTCAGTCAATGGATTTATTCATAGCCCTTACGGGGAACGTAAACCATCAACCTCCAGGGTGCTGATGCTTTGGCAGTACAACCTGTTCAGTGCAGTATCAGTATTGTGGATGAGAGACAACAGCAGGAAACCTAGATCAAACTGAATCCCTCCTGTCAACTGCTTCCAACTATTCCGCACAATTTATCTTAACAAGTCCAAGCGGTTTAAAAGAGATTCATAAAAAATATTCATTCATTTATGAATCGTTTCATATTCATAAAAATGTTAAAAATATTAGTAGTTTGAGTATTAGTATTTATATGTATGTATATATATATATATGTATATATGGTAAAGTTGTGGAAAAATTGTATATAGAGAAACATGTTATCATTGAACACAATGATTTTAGAGGACAAGAACGAACCCCCTCAAAAAAAGGAACTAAAAACAGTTCAGAAAATGAGTTTATAGTTCATAATTGTTCAACAAAATCCAAATGATCCTTCTTCTTTAACTGTGAACACTGAAGGAGTGAAACAAGGCATTTGTATGCACAGATGCATATGATGACCAGTGCGTTTTTCTTAAATCGTTGTTGGAAATTAGATCACAAACTACTACAATATGTAGTAAGTAGTATTCAAATGTCTTAAAGGGATAGACTATCAACTGTACGTTGATACATATTCATGTTGCTTAGACAGGAACAGGAACGAAAAATAAAAGAAGATAGATGCATTTATAAGTTGGAAGATTAATAAGGAAGGGACAAAATATAACTTTCAGGAAAAAATAAAACGTTTTTTAGATAGGTAGTTAGTGAATATGTGTATATATAGATATATGTTTGGATATACTTTGGACGACAGTGTGAATATTTATATGAAAAAGGGAAACAAATAAAGGGTTCCAGAAGAAATAAGGCTTTGGACAGTATAATATTATCATACTAGACCACAATTAGATAAATCAAGCGGATAGATATTCACATATAACTATGTTTTTGAGATTGGGGACTGGTAATGAAAACTGACAAGGAATCAGCTGGTGGATTGTATTCCAAAATTTCTTTTCGATCACGATTTTCTGTATGTAGAAAATGGAATGAAGATTTGTAGCAGATAATATTTTAATAGATTTATGATACTGTCAGGCTGAAATGGAACTAAAAATTTTTTTTTTGTATATTTTTAAGGGTGAAAATAAGGATTCAGTACTAGGATAGTTTTCAATACGATTGACTGACATACCATGGCCAGAAACCCAGTAGTCAGTGGTTCTGATTGTGTTGTGGCTGAAATTTTCATGTCACCTTCAATCCACACCTAATGTCAATACTAGTCTGCCAGACCGTCGCTATCTTAAACAGTCAAACTGATGACCTACAGATGCCGGTGCAAATGGTATGTGATCAGTATCGTATACACACTACATTTCGTGATCAGCAGACCTATATGAATAAGCATAGCTGGTGCACTATGGAAATGGCCAGACCGTGATTAGTCTCTGTGTGTGTAATTTATTCTCAAAAGAAGTCCACTGTAACGCGAGTAGCTCAATGATAATATCGCCAACTATGACCGCAAAGAGAACAGTTTTCACACCATAAATGATTATGGGTCTCAAAAATGATGTCAGTAAATTTGGCCAACTTATGCAAAAAAACATTCAACGTTGATCCAAGGTATTTCACCGATAACTTTCAAACAACAAAGAAGTCAGATTTCCATACAGATCAACTTATCAGCACAAAGTATTTCAGTTCATCATCTCTGTTCGATAAATAGTGATATAAATTGAAATACCATCACTTTCTAATCGAAATGTTCTACACGCTACATCAACATAAACCTTTTTAGATATATATTATGCTGATTTTTTAAGTAAAAGAATAGAAGCATTAAAATTTCAACAAGAAAGCACTCTTTTATTCGAGTAAATGCTAATTATACGTTATGACAATCAGTGTCGGGATTAAATAAAAATGGACACTCTATATGATGGATGTGCTAGAATTTGAAAGTGATCACAATTAAATTCACACTAGGTTACTGAGGTGTAAATTGGACCCCATAAAACTTGAAGTTCCAAGGATGATTCCTAAATGAAGGATAGGTATGGTTTTCTAACTAGTGTAGGTTAGTGGTGAGACTATTTTTGATGGGTCATTTTTCAAGATATCATAAAAGTGAGAAAAGTGAAAATTTTCCGCTTGTACTTCACTGAACCTGCTGCTTTTGACCATCAAAATTACATTGCTGATTCGGAACTTACAGACCACTTTTCGAGTCGTTATAATTCTTCAAGAGAACAGTGAACATTTGTATGGTTTAAAACTAGTAGAGTACAAAACGTAGTATTTTACATGGTTAGCAAAGTGACATTTATAAATAGATGACGGTTTTACAGTTGTTCATTAAAAATTAAATGAAAATATATCTGAAAAGTCCAAAAATAGTTTTCATACTTTTTGAATTCGATCACTTGATTGAAACTTAGATCATAGTTTTTAATACCGCTGTGTATCTGTTTTGAAGTATGGTAAAATGTGATCTTTTCATGTTTTCAATGGACATAAAGGTCGATCAGATGACCTAAACTTAAGCAATGACACTGGCAGTTTGTATTCGAAGGTATAAAGATGAATAAAAACGTTATGTTTGTACATCCTTTTCCCTTAACTAATTACATAAGAGTTGGAAGAAAAGGATTTACAATGTTAAAATGTTCATTTCTAATACAAAGATGAGTTTGTTTACCACTTTGTTCATTCATATATTCCTCACTGTCTAGTTATTTATGGTCATTAGATCATGACAGTATTAGGCTGGTTTATATTCTTGAAGAATTCGGTGTCTTCATTGAACAAACTAATGATTATGGCAACAGACTTGATAAAACTCGCCTATACTCATACAGCGATGTATGCAGCCAATAGAATTACTCTACTTCATCCTTCACTTTATTTGTCAAAACTGTTGTCTTGTCTGATGTTAAGCGAAGTGAGTTAATTGTAAAAAGAGAATTGTGCAAAATTGTAAGTGAAAAACTGTTCGATTAGAAGTGACTTATGCTAACTCCTGTTTTCCTGTGTATTAGTATTAGGTGGAATGAAGCTGTTACAAGCGCATAAGCCACCTCTGAGAAACAGCTCACTTGACCTTGATAAGCAATTATAAACAGTGTTAAAGTTTAGCATACTTGTTGAAAAAAAACCCCAACTACTTGCAACCTTTATGGAACGTGGTCAGGTGATTGTTAGCTGTTGCCTAATGAGATGAAAGATATAACCCCCGATATCGAGATTATTTATACCATTACACTATGAGCTTCAGTTTCCATAGGCCGAACTTTCAGCATAAGTCTGCATCATCTTCAGCACACACTTAACGCCAAAAAAGCAATGGTCACTTATTTTCTCCTAGTCTAAAACTTTCCGTTAGTAATCATTCATTCAAAACCCTACGATTTTCGAAACAAATTATCAACATTCTCGAAATTTACGGAATTTATGATATGATATGTTCATTTTTCCAACTTCAGCTGATTCCAATTCCTCTTGAGGAGTATGCACAAATTGTCTTAAGATTCATCAGTATAGGTTACTTTTTGCGCCTAAAATATAACAGATGGTGAATTCATTTCAGATTCTGAAATTTACTGATGATGAATTTCACAAATTTATAAAACATATACATATATAAATATAATTACCGTCGTTTTAATCTGATTGACTTCATCTCGGCTACATTTGGTGGTAGAGAGGTAATGGTCTTTCAAATGAATATTCATTTCACTATCTATTGGACTCATTGAATAATTTACTCGATTTGATTCATCACAACTTGTTTGACTAGTGTTTTGCCTGTCTTGAACACTTTTTGATTCGAGTAATTGTGGATTACATTTAGAGGATGGAGAAAATAACGCTTTGGTGTAAACTGAATTTTCATGATCATGGAACATTTCAACTAATTTCCTTTTAGTTTCAGTAATACTAAGGTTAGTATTACAGTTGTTAATACTGATTCGTGAGTCATTGAAATCCTCATTAGGGTACATGTTTGAATCGATAATATTAAGGACGTCTGTTTGATTATGTTCTTTCTTATTCAACAATTCATTTTGTTTGACTGATGGATTGCATGGCCAACATATTTGTTCACTAGACCAACGTAATTCAAAGTCACTATTCAATTGTTCATTGTTTTGATTCAATGGATTTAAATCTTTCCTATTTAATAATAAACCCTGATAATGGTGTTCAGGAGGGTTAAAGTTGTCATATGAAAGGTGTTGGTCCATTTTCATTGGCGTAGAATGTAAACCATTTGATTGTAAATCTTTTTCTCTGTTGTAGTAAGTTGTGAAATCCATTCTATTATGTTCATGATGCTGAGTACTATTACTCATGTTCATTGGGGTATTGTATGCTTCCGAAATAATTGGCTTATAAAGAGGAGAGGCAACAGTAGGATTTGAGTTTCGAACACATGGTAGTGTCTTATGCATCATAGTTTGATAAATTGAAGGCAACTGTTGACTAACCGAGATGTTGTTATCATTTCTAACTTGTTCTGGTGGAGTTGTAAAAGCGAAAGGTGAACAATCTAATTCTGTTGAATATGTTTTTTGAACAGGTATACATTCTGTAAGATGAGTTGATGTTGTCGAGTTAATTAGTACTGGTGATGTGGATAGTTTTAGACCAAAAGAATCTGACTGCGTATGGAACACGTTATCAAAGGAAACTGCAGCTGGAGTACCGGACCTATGTGCTTGTCCATTTGTCGTAGCAGTGTGAATACTGAAAACACTGTCAGTTGAAGATGAGGATGATGGTGCTACTTCTTCTAGTTCTAAACTTCTGCATGGTATAGTATTTGTAGAAATATTATTCATGTTTAAGTTGGGGATAGCTGACATTTCATTCGGGATAGGATGGAGTTTTGAAATATTGTTTATACTGTCATAATTCATTCCTCGCGTGTTCACCGCATTCGGGATTAGAAATCGTGTCATTTCTTTAGTCAAGATATCATGATTCATATTTCCTAAATTAAATGTGCTGAATGGAGATGATGTCATCTTATGCAGAGATGCTTCGTGACTCATTTGGGTGTAATTATTAGAAGATGAAATGTTTGCTGCGACTGCTGCAGCTACAGCAGCTGCAGCTGCTGATGCACACTTTCTGCGAAAACCCCTTGGTCTTCTTCTTGATGCCCCATCTTGAAACATAAATTCCGCAGCTGGGTCAATAGTCCAGTAATGACCTTTTCCAGGGCGACCCATGCCTAAATAATGTGCGTAGAATTCAGGTAATAAGTATACAAAGAATAAGGTGTATTTGCTGTTTAGATTAGGAAAATAATTATACCAAATACTAAAAGACATTCAGAATTAGTGGTCTCAAAAATTTCTACGAAAGGATCAAATCCTTTCATCTGATGGGATTTATTCCACAAATTCATGTACGCCATAATGCCTAGAATGAAAATAATTTATTCTCCTCAGAAGAAGCTACAATTTTAGCTTGTGTCAATTATCACAGCTTAGTGCATAAAAAAGAATTCGTTCAATGAAGGATTCTGTTTGGCCTAAAAAAGTAGTCTCAAGTCTTCATAAGTTTACTAGGGTTAGAAAGTAATAAAAATGTAGACTGGGTTGCAGTACGTTGACTACAAAATAAGATTTTAAATATTCTCATGCAGGCTATGTAAATAAAAGTTTCCCAATAACTCTCCGGTCACCAGCTGAAGTTGCTTGGAGAACTTTTAAATTAATCATTAAGGCTGTTAACGTTCGTTTGTTCCCTAGTATCCTTCAGTAAGATACTTCAACTTATACTTCATAGTTTAGAAATAAACATTGTAGAAACAGTTAGAATATAATAAGTTATACAGAATACGCTGGTGTGCCACAGCTGTCATTGTTAAATGTTTGAACGAAGTTTACCTACGGCTTTGCTTCATGTATGTTTTTTACTTATTAACAGTGTTCAGTAGCGTGTCTCTCTAACCTTATGAAGATTGATACCCTTTAAGTTATGCGGATCTACTCTGCTTATTGTTTCAGCCTAAAGCGCTACGAATAAGCTATTTGAGCCGCAGCTGACCTGTAAATAAGTGAATTCAGTTCACTAATCAGTCACTTGGAAGTAGCCAATATAAGGTTCCATTGTCCGGTAGACTTAATAGATTCCATTTAACAAGACTATGTTAGTCTTGTAAATGAAGTTGAAACAGTTTTTTTATGAGCATCAATGTGCAAAGAACACAAGCAAAACAAAGCTTTATGATGAGAATGTTCAACTTCCTTGCATGGTGATAAAGAATAGCACATTAGACAGAATTTAATCATGACTAAGGACTACATAAATTTAGTTTCGTTACAATGTAGTGGTAAATATGTACATAGTACAGTACCCTAAGATAACCAATTTCATTTCTTACTAAATCCCGTAAACCTAGTCTGGAAACTTGAAAATTATTTTGGCAGTGCAACAGAGTTCCGTTTAACTTGATAGCTTAAATAAGATAGTTTTAGGTCCAAAGTACAGAGATGAATCCACCACAAAAGAAGTAGAAATGTGCTGCTGACCGGTGCTACCACTGAATTATTCGAAATACAGTGGGAACAACACCACATACTGGGAGGCAGGTACATCCGGCGGACGAGTCCAAAATAGGATGAAACGCGCGTCCTGGATCCCACTACTGGTCACTATCCATCATTAATACGAAATATAGTACACCCATAAAATATTTGGTAGACAAAAAGTTCTACTCCACTTATATTCGCACAGAAATTCATAAGTTCCATTTATTGTATCAGTGACTTATTACAGATACTTACAAACTGATGAAGATAAATAAAAGGCAGTGTCTTCTTAGCAATACCTTGTTAGATTGTCGTAACTGTCATATTGCATTAATTAAAATGTGCCTGGTATAACACCTGGACCAAAAGTGGTAGTATTTGTAAAACCGAACTTTAAATGTTCATTTTGTACTATGCAAGCGCATGAATACATATTGAAAATTGAAATGTGTGTCTAAACTAAAATTTGGATGCGCGACAAGAAGTGATTCAGACAAGTTAATTTGCGTTTTTACTGAACTAAAATTTATCAAATTACACTGTAAAATTCAGATGCTAAGAGAATATTAGAAGTGAATAGATGTCACTATATACGATAATATCAAGTGAATATTAATTAATATGCGGAATTATATATCAACTGATATTTATGGTAGTTTTTAAGTATAAACATGGCCATTTTAAAATGTGATTTTTTTTCGACTAATATGTACGTAGGTTTTTGTACAATGACAGAATAATGCATTAACTGATAGATGGAGTGGTGTAAATTGAGACAATAATTTTTGTTGAATCATGGTTTTTGTATTCATGATACAGTGGATAATATACGCGAACAGCTGCCTAAATGTTATTCTCCTGTTTTTAATAATGTTCAAATTTTGTCTACCACAGGATGTTAGACAAGTGTTACAGTAAATGAGTCAAAGTAATTGTAGGCTCTGGTTACAGCGAGTGTCTGTAAATAATTTCTAAAAGGCCTGGAGTTAAATTATTGAGTTTTCTGGGACTCGTAGACAAAACAGAAATGTACGTGAATCTAAAATATTCCCTTAGTGAATATATTTGAGTTACCTACAAATGAAAATGACTTGATTAACTCATATCTGTGAAGGGGGCATAAATTTAACCTTGTAAAACGTAGGTAATCATTCCCTTGAATGCAGTATTCTAGTACGGCTAAAGTCTTATAAAGTATGCGTTTGTAAATTCTAAAAATACGCTGAATGTTCAACGACTAATTAACTTGTTACTGTGGTATTGAAATGACTAGGTTAGATAAATTGTATCTATGGAGATCAGTTGCTGAGACGAATGTATCTTGGCAGTTATTATCAGCTGGCCTTATAGAATTCCATGTTTTACGTTTACAAGATTTAAGTATATAGCTGCAAATATTAAACTTTTGGTTATCTTCGTTGTAGAGAAGGTAGCAGACTGTTTAAAACTCTATGAGCATATTCAGAAATTTTGTTTAAAATCTCTTTCTCAGCTTAATGGTGACAAGCCTTTTATTCCTTTGTTATTTGGTCTTCCAGGTAATCCCTATTTTGTTTCAAGAATATTCCTTCCTATAATGCAGCATTAAGCCTTGTTTCTTCTACGCACTAAATTTAATGTCAAATACATTTTAAATGAGTTAGGGGCTATCGTTAAAAAACATTGTAGCAAGCTAAGTTAATTGACCTCATACTTTGTTATATTTCATTCTGAACATCTTCAACATTTGTAAGTGTTATCGTCAAGTAATTCACACCAAAAGTAAGTTGTAGCAATATGGACTATTACTCAGTAGTTCCAGGTCCCGTGTTGATTTTGATCGATTGACGAAATAAACGAATAAATGAACCAATGTGTATGAAATATTCTCATATACAATGATCTCTGTTATTAAATTATCGACCTCGTTTAATCTGAGTTTGATCCTCAATCGCATTAAAGTGCAAACATTAATCTTCAGCTTCCATACATTACGTACGTTGGAAGGAGCACTAAGCTCAGTGAACTAAATTTTCCGCTTTGTACAATTAACTATTTGAACAATAATTTAGATGAGTCTATGGATTTCTTGAAAATTCGTTGGTGTCAATGCTAGAAAACCTCTGATAAGTTTACTGGCAGATGACAATGATCTGTGGAGTCTGTTCCACACCTAAATACTTAAATGTTGTATGCCTAATGGACAGTCATATCTGTATGCAAACATTACGTTACAATTTGTTTGTTTACCTCACAACGGTAATATCATTGTCATGGGGTCATTTATATACTACACATTTAAGGAAATACTGAATGGTCCAAAGCTCACGTCTACACCTTCTTGTATGATCTACGGATATGCTGTGTTTATTTACAAAGCGTTATCATTGATTTTTTCATAATGAGTAAAACATGGTTGGTTTTAAGGTGTCACTTATATAGAGTGCTTTAAAAACATTGACAAATAAGTATTCATCACGTCTTAATTGCTTCAATTCATACTTACGTGGAATAAAACGAAAACGTAACAGTTTAGCTACGTGATCTGCGTACGGAAGTAGAACCTAACGGTAAATAAAAAGAAGTATAACTTTGTCGCCTTGAATGTTGTTTCAATACTTGACATGAAAAGCATGATAAGATTGAAGTGAAGCTTATTTAGTATTGAGACATGGAGTCACAAGAAGTGTAAGGATTTTCGCTATTATCAGTGATTCGTTGACCAACTCCGTAGTCTCCGATTAAAACGCTATATCCATATCTAAAATTTATGTACTCCAGGTTGGTAGTGGAGGGACACAATTGTGAAAACCGGCGTCCAGTATAACAGTCATAAAGACTTAGATGAAGGTTATAGAGAAAGTTTGAGTTATATACATTCAAAATTAGATTGTTTTTGCGTCCATTTGGTAATGCACCTGCAGAATTTGATCATCTAAACTAGGACATTTCTGCCAGAATTTCTTTGTAGTTGATTCTCATTTTTTGGATTATATTTTGTGCACTACTAGGTGCTGTGAAGACTAGCATCAACCGACATGTATGTGGGGGTATAAGTTATGTTTAAAGAAGTGGACAAATGCCTAAACGATTATAAAAATTTCCATATGTCTTTCATACTGAGGGATGGGGAGGAGGTTGACGTTTAACAAAGAAAAGCTTATTCCCTAAAATCCAACTTCCATATGCTAACCAGTATAACATTCACGTATCCAGCATAGTTCTGAACACAGAAGAAGACTAGTAAGACATTCGTTTCATAACTGTACGTCTTCTAGCAGATGAAGATAACAGAGAACTAAATCTGTGATATAATCATAGTCTACTGATTTGTGTACAAAGACAGTTGATTCTTTTTCACAACTAACTAAAATTCATTAAGAAATACGAGGCTGTTATTAACAGTTGGTGGTTTACACACAAATAAGTTAATAACATAAATAACGTTCACTATGGGCATATTTAGAAATCGATTGTCAAATACTGCGCAATTGAGACATTCACTTTCATGAATATGCTTTTCTGAGTGGATATGTTTCATATTTTAATTGGTACTGACGTCGATGCGATATAAAAATTGTGGATGATGAAGAGGATTCACAAATAGGTTATAGAGATTTCTTTTTCAAGTTTATTGTAGAAAGAGAGAACAAGTCTGAGTATTGAAATTCCCAGAAGTTAACTGCAATATATTCTTACTAAATTCCTATCCTTAAATCGGAATTTTTCATACAATCTAAAAGAATAAGGTGGGTAATCAACAAGAGTGGTATATTAGTGGTGTCTTTGACTGCTTCACTAAGTGATACAGATTGGTATGTCTTAGTGTCCATCAGTTTCACACAAGTCATAGATGTTCCTTTTTGATATGGGCTAACAAGTATGCAACTTAATTTCAAGGTTTCTACTGATTGATACTGACCATATGAGGAATTAGGCGAGCTTAAATATTTGCTTGTAGATCTTTTTGATTCCTTTTCTCGTGGCAAATAAGGACATCTGTTCCATTGAACAATTAATGAGCTACTAACTTCCTTTTGACGGAGGTTGACTAAAGTTTATGGTGCTTTGGTGTTGTCTGATCTCTGGTGTTTTTTCGTGAACATCTAATATCCAGGTTTTGGTGACATCTTCAGCACTTACTTCATAATTTCTTAGTGAGGCGCTCACAATAAAATATCAAAGATCAGAGAACTTCAAACCACCATCATCCTTGTCCTAAGCTACGAATCGTTTCCATCGTTTTATAATTGTTCATCATTATATTTCGGCATCTTTCGAATATGTGATGTTTGATTTTGATTTAAAATACACGTACAACTTTGTCAGTTGCCTAGTGCTTCTATTTTTAATTGTTTTCTCAAAAAAGACTTCAATGAAGTGACTGTTCTACAATTACAAGCCAGTTAGTTAGTGGGTAAATATTTATCAGATCACTTCGATTTGATGCTTGCTTTTTCAAGAATGAATCCAGTGGTATTCTATGCTGCTCGTGTATAACACATAGTTATTGCCTACAAAATGATATGTCAGTGGATAAATTTTAAGAAAAAAAGGATCAGTTAGATGTGTTATTCCAATCTCAGCATGCATATTTCGTTCATGGCTATCGAATGCTACCAACGTAATCAGCTGGTAACCTATGCAAAAAAGTTCTATTTCCTGTGGAAAGTATTGACATCGAAAGTCGTTTCGTTAGTATTATCTGCGAAATAAGCTACTTGACTAGCACTAATGATATATGACCGAGAATTGGTTGTCAAGACTGACTGGATCATCACATTTTGGTGAGACTGTACAGTTGGTGATGATGACATCTAAGTTTATAGTGTGTTCAACAGATAATTCTTTCAAACAGTATCAGGTGTAAGCGAAATAAATGCTGCATAAGTGTAAGCTGCTAAAAGGTCATGGGTGTATAATCTGCTGCACAGTTATCAGTTATGATTAAAACACAAACCAGTGACTATGTCAACTTAAATCCTTCAAACTATAGGTAAATTATTAGTACTGTAATAATGGATCACAAAACAGTTTGATAGAGAATTAGGATGCAAGTAACGGTGATTAAGAATTCAGCCATGTAAAAAAGCTGAATATATTCAAATTTAAAGAGAAATGTGTTTAACACATTCTTTTTAATCAGTAATGTTGTACAAGACTAAACTCACCTTTCGGCAATTTAATGAAGACTTCATTCAGTGATAAATTATGCCGAACTGAGTTTTTCCACCCTGTATATTGTCCACGAAAGAATGGAAATTGTGTATGCAGATATTGATAGATTTCGCTGAGTGTACATCTTTTTGACGGCGATGCTTTGATAGCCATTGCAATCAATGCAATATAAGAATATGGTGGTTTTTCTGATCGCCGACCAGCTGAAAAGTATGAGAACAAGAAGTTATTTATTACATTCAACTGGAAATTCATTCATTTTTCAAAGTAAAAATTAATTAACAAGAGTTAACATTGAAACAAATACGAAAAGTCTTTATAGCTGTATAACTGTATTTACATAACCTAACCATTTGAACTAAACTCTACTACAGTTACTTGCTTAAGATGTCATTGGCTTTGTTAATCTCCATTGTGATTCCATAACGAACTTGCTGGAACTAAATGACCAACTGGTATGTAGATAGTTTGTCAGAAAAGTATATTCCCTGTAGAAATCGTCTTCACAAGCTTTCACAGTATGGAGAAGGTAAATTCTCCATTGATTAAGATTTTATACATATATTTTCATTACTAGATGACTTAATTTCCTCTGAATTGGATAGCCGCTTTATCTTTACGGTGGTGCTAATAAAATCATCTTTTATGCGAGAAGCTGGTGCTTCTGCCTAAGACTATTAAACTGAGGGGAGATTTTAGGTTCGAATTTATCATGGACTGATATCAGTTGGGGGAACATTGAAAACCTGGGAGCACTGGACAGCTGTTTCGTCTTAGCATGGGACTCCTCAGCAGTCGCACCCATGACCCCACCCCAACACGGACAGAACCCATTACCTTCAGTTTCCGTGGCCGGCACATTACCTTTGAGCCACTGGGTCTGAATCCAATGGTCCATAGGGGATATCTGCCTATTTATTACATAATTTGTTAAAAGTATTCGTGTTCCCAGAGGAATCCACTCAAAACTGGATTAAAAAATTTACTTGAGGCAATTAATACTTGATATGCTCAGTGTGATACTGTTTCCTCTATCCAACACACGCTGAAGAGAAGCTTGAATGATCTGTGGTCGAGTGGAGTCAATCTGAATTTTTGCACAATCCTAGTAAGTTATCACCCCAAAGCGATCAGACAGGCATCACTTGCAACATATACAAATATCGGAGGATAATCCAAGCATTTTGTAGTTCAATATTGTTCAAGTCGTAGTTATGTTTCTTTTGATTAGATTGACGTTTACAGTGTCGACAAAGTAATGAGATATAAAGATAAACAAACAACTGAATCTTGTTTGGTTCAGTGTAAAGTTTTGCTCTCTCAATATAAAAAATACCTTTTTTCCTGAATTCTTCTACTTATAACTGACAGGAATTGTTGTCGAAAAACTACAAATAAACATGCATGCGAACAGCAGATGTGCACAGTGAAGACAATTCTCCTCTAACTGGCTGCGATTCAGCTATACCGGAAATACTAAATATTTCTTATTTTATTATGTTTATTCTATTTTTCTTAATTGGTTAACCATTTCTTTCACAGTCAGTAGATGTGTGCCGATGAGAAGTACCTTTTTCGAATTTGTACACAATTGACATGATAAATCATGTAGCCAGTACTAATGTTATGGTTAAGTTAATAACCTTATTTTTTACAACCATGAATAGTTAGTCATACTGTCACCGTAGACCAAAGAAATTGGTATTTGTGAAGATGACTGTCAAAGTAGTAGACACCTTAGTCTGTTGTTTCAGTATCGTATTACTTTTTTAAATATCAAGAACAGTAGCGATAAAAACAATGATCTCGTTGGTGATATTGATAGTGATGTGGGTTCCAGATACCTTGTTATTCTGTGACGGACATAAGTTGAAATAAACATGAATTTCTGAATCATATATATATAACTGAACACCTATATCTGTCTTTTATGTGGAAAAGCATTCTTGGTAGCATATACAAAACTTTATTCAATAACTGTCGTTCCCTTAGAGGAGGAGCAAACCATTTTCTTTTCTTACATAGTTGATAAAGTAGAGTTGTTTCGTTTACTAGCCATTTGATTTGTATTCAACAGCTGTTCTTAATGTTTTTGTCAGACTCTTCATGACTGAATCTCTGATCTCTTCAGTGGAATTAACTGCTACTCAGAGAAAGTTAACATTTTATCACCAAGATGTTGTTCACTAACTGGAATTCTATAGTTTACTCAACTTGTTACGTAAAACATTTTACAGTGTCTTGTGAATTATTATAAAACTTTAATATATGTGTCTTACCTTTAGACAAAAAATACCGAATAAAGTTAATTATATCTGAAGTGAAATATCAGAACTTAAGAAAATATTTTTGTCACAGAGTAGTCTCAGTTAACTGACAGAGGTTGAACTATTCTGTTAACTAAAAGCTGCGGTAGTTACATTGGATTAACAGTAAAATCTCTTCTAAACACCTCACTAAGTTTTTACTGTGAACATTTTCACTGTTCCCTTAAGCCTACGGCAGAATATAAGTTTCTTTTCATTGCAGACATGTCTAAATGACAACTTTACAGTCAATATCTCGAATTCAAGTCGTGTGTTGTCACAAGGGAACAATGTTTTTGGCACAGTTGTGTTATATGAGTACCTGAAGACAGTCCTTCATATTTAACTTTAAAGATGGCTAGGCCTTCAGTTACACGCATCGAAATACTCATTATATTGAAATACCTGACTGACTTTGTGATTCCGGATTTTTATTTCATAGTAGTGTTTTGTTTTTGCTTGTACAATGTTAAAGTATTAAAGAATTTATGTTTCAAAAGTTGTGCTTCAGTCTGAAAGAGCTTCAAGGGCTCCAGAATCTGTCGGTTTTCATTACTGCCACTATCATGAAAAATACACTTAAATACATCCCAGTTTTTTGTGTTTAGTGTAAATTACCTACTGAAAGCAGTTTTTGGTGATATATCATACTGGAAATATTTCTACATTAACATATCTTCTCATAGGGCAAAATTAACCATAATCATAGGTAATATTGAGCAAAACTTGCTTAATGCTTTAGCATTTAAAAGAATTGGTGAATTACGAATTCTATATTCCTATCATAATTATATAAACTTGCATACAACAGAAAGAGAAATGTCTTTGGGAAAAAACAAGTCAGAATATGAGATTATATATATATAAGGAGGAGACTCATCTAAACAAATTCCTGTCAATCACTTGCAGCTATCCAAGACTAAATACAGTATTTCACTGTACTGAGAAACTTATTTTACTTACTGCTCTGTACAGTTTGATAAACTGGTTATTGTTGGGACTGTATGTGCACGCAGTGTTTGATAGACTTTCAATAAGTGATTTGCGTAAGCGGTGATTGTGTGCTTGATGATTTTGTTGATGAAGTTGAACACAGATTTCATTGCATGAAGAAGGTAGAGCCATTTAAATCCCGAGTGGGGTAAAAAAATTTGCATCTTTATTCAGAACTCTTCGTTATCGTGCATCCTCAACCTTATACAGTATAAAACACAGGAATTTCAAGTCTATGCTCGTACATTTATAGTGGATACAATTACGAAGTACAATCTTTATACCTGAATACTAGCAGTTTTTTTTTATCTAGTCAGAATGAGAATTTGACCAGATAGCAACTGAACATGGTATTTACTGAGAGCTTTTAAACCATTCTGAGTTCATTTTACAATTGAGAATTCAGTAGTTCCACTAGATGAACTACAGAAATAGAAAAGTCTGAAACTCACCTGATGTACTCATAGTTTATTCACTGTATGCTGTCTACAAGAGCAGAGAGCGATTACAGACAATGATTGCACTTTAGTAACTCATAGTAATTTAATGGTACAATCCATTTCCTGTAGAACTAATTGAAGCGTATTATACAGTGAATAAAAGGTTTTTAAAGTTGATTTAGTAATGAGTTTCATTTTCTGTTACAGGTGAGTCTCGACATACTCTCATGAAATACCTTTTACACGTCCTGTTTCGCCTCTTCCCTCAGGGAAAGACATTTAGTGCTTTCTATTATACTTTGGACACCGGTTACAAAAAGGAGGCTGAAAATCCTCAAGTATTTTAAAATTGATCTCATAATAGATGACAATACATGTAATTGAAAACGGCGCTGTTCATCAGCAGTCCAACTTTCTATATCCTTCATGTGTTACCACACTGACAGATGAACTAAAAAAACTGGGATAACTATTTCTGCACGTGATACGGCAGTCCTGAAGAAACTTCATCCATTTTGTTGGTAATCCTGTCGTGTTTATTACTCATTAACTATGCTAACTGAAACTTTTTTTACCTTAACTTCGCTTGAAATCCTTGCCTAAGTTAAAAGCCTTCAAAAAATAACTGCTTCTCTAGTTATTTAATGTTGGCTTGTTAGAGAACAAAACCTACTTGGGAAGTAGAGTGGTAGGAGGAGAAAAAGTAGTTTCTTTCATGGTGATGTCTACCTAGTGGCTGGTAGTGGAAACCAGAACGCCAGTTTCGTCCTGTTTGAAAACTATCATCTGCATCCACCTGGACCCCAGAGATGAGTGATGTCGTCTTCACTGCTACTTGAACCCAGTACCTATCGCTTCAAATGCCAAGACATCACCAGGTAAGCCATCGGGGCATGAGAGCCACCGCTTATATAATGGATATCAGTTGTCACTTTTGATAACTATTATTTCCCGTCACTATACAGGGTCTCTTATTTGTACATTATTCAGACAACATCCAGTGCATGAAATAAGCATAAAAATTATTAGTTGCCTTCGCTGACATTTAAATAAGACGTAGGATGTGTGCCCTGGAAGAAAGTAACATGAATTAGTATACAGCGTGAGCTTCTTCTTTGGTTCCAGTCTTTACCTTTACACTACAAGCGTTTAACTACGATTTATTGAAGTTTTTTTCAAATGTCACTTCCTTTTAAAGCCATGCGTACGGGGTCCGAGTCTCGGTGGGAACACCGTCACCTGCTGGGGTACACACATATAATTGACGAGTCCCAACTAGAACGAAACATGAGTTCGGGATTTCACTCTCCAAATGAATTATGACAATAAGTATTCAGGCAAAATATAGGAATCCGCATAGGAGCTAATATGCCAACAACAAGTTCTATCCAGAATAACGAGGAAAATGGTGGAT